CGTCTTGCTCCTAGTAGTAAGGCCAGGAGCCCCGTTCGTAGCGTCTTTGCTACTAATAGCGATGGCCTCCAACCTAAGTGCATTCCAAGAATGATGTCATTGACGGTGAAGATCTGGGCTTCGCCGAATGAAGATTCGATCTTTTCTTCACGAGGCAAACGTGTTGGGTCAGGCTTGAAACCGGCACCTGCTTGAACCGCATAAGCTAAGCAGGCTCAGATTCTTCAATCAAACTCACAAGGAACTGCTGGTTGCCCAGCAGTCACTTCTTTGGGGTTCCACAAGAGCCAACTGTTCTACTTCCAGACTGCGGCCTTGTAAAAAGTGTACTAGGGAGATAAGAGCCCATCATATCCCACTATCCAATTCCACATTTTAACCCAACCTGTCCCCACTAGCACTAGAAGCAGGGGTCGCCCAATAGAAAACAACTGCAAAACAAAACTATAGATCTGTAATGACATGTGTCTGTGAATATACCAGGACCTTCCCACTTGTATATATACACATTATACACACATACTCTCACCAAACGACATACAGACATAGTTGCAGACTTGCAGACCCTAGAGAAACTCTCCAAGAAACGCCGGTCATCGACACTCCGACCTGAGGGCTCGATGTGCCCTGAAAAACTGGACCTCGCCGAACGGCCGGTGAACACCGGACATCGGATGGCATCAGCTTGGACCGACCGATGGCCGGCGACGGCCTTAGAACCCCCTCTTCGCCATCGGACATCGGAACCCCTTTGGAGAATTCTTTGTGGGTTTCCTCAGATCCCAAGAGCTCCAGAAACCACCTCTGATCTTAGAGGGTCTGAGTAGAGGCTTGGGTTGTGATGTCGTTTGAAGGAGTGAGGGGTTCAGACTAGGATCAGTCATCTTTTGGTAGGGCCATGCCGTGTCCATCATGAGGCACCATCAGTCACCGTGGCCCAACCTCAACTGCTTCAAGGGTGACCTTGGCGTGGTCTTCCTACACAAAAGAATCGTTTCGGAGCATTTTCTTAAGACTACGCATGTCCTTTGTATTCTACTGTTTTTGTTCATGCAAATCGTATGATGAATCCAGGGGCAGTTGTGAGTCTTAGTCACCGCATTCAGCTTACAGTAGCCCATACCTGTTGCGAAAGACCCAGAACTATCTTGGGCCAGGTTTTACTGTTTTGGGCCCTGGTGGGTTCTAAATGATCAACTTCAAACCGCCAAGCAACGTGACCCACGGCTTTTTTCCGGCCGATACTCTTCGGCACTTAAAACGACCGTTCGGTCGATGCACCGAAAAAAAAAAGAAAGTCTCATCCCTCGGTCTTGTCTCATCCCTTCCTCCGGTGCTCCAGCCAACTGGATGCCGCCGCTGCCATCACGAAGTCGGCAAGTTTGTTGCGCTTCACCACTTCCGAATAAACTCCTTTCCGACGCCCAAAAAATATCTAGTAGGCTGAAGACCATCGCTATCAGGTTGGAGGCCATCACTCTTAGGTTGGAGGCTATCGCTAAAGGGTGGAGACCATCGCTAGTCGGTTGGAGGCCATCGCTAGTAGGGTGGAGGCCATCGCTAGCAGGTTGGAGGCCATCACTCTTAGGTTGGAGGCTATCGCTAAAGGGTGGAGACCATCGCTAGTCGGTTGGAGGCCATCGCTAGTAGGTTGGAGGCCGTCGCTATTAGGGTGCAGGCCATCGCTAGTAGGTTGGAGGCCATCGCTAGTAGGTTGGAGGCCATCGCTAGTAGGGTGGAGGCCATCGCTAGCAGGTTGGAGGCCATCACTCTTAGGTTATCGCTAAAGGGTGGAGACCATCGCTAGTCGGTTGGAGGCCATCGCTAGTAGGTTGGAGGCCATCGCTACTACGTTAGAGGTCATCGCTAGTAGGTTGGAGGCCGTCGCTATTAGGGTGCAGGCCATAGGTTGGAGGCCATCGCTCACTATTAGGGTGGAGGCCATCGCTATTGGGGTGGAGGCCATCGCTATTAGGGTGGAGGCCATCGCTAGCAGGTTGGAGGCAATCGCTAGCAGGTTGGAGGCCATCACTATTAGGGTGGAGGCCATCGC